AACTCATTCCTGAAAGGGCAGGACAGTGTCTGTCTTCAGAACAGCTGTGTCAGCAGGGCCTAGCCCAGTGCCTGCCACACAGTAGAGAGGGGGTCTGAATAAATGATCAAGGAATAAACAACACGCCTCTGAACTCAGAATTTTCTTTAAGAGCCAGTTGTGGATCCATCAAAGGAAGATTCTGCTACATCTTTTTTTCTCTCGTTACGTTTTCTGCCTATGCTTTCTCATCATGAACTCCATCTTACGAAGGCACATTTCCTTTGGCCAAAGTTGGAGTCACCCTTTCCAGGCCTAAAGTGCATCCTTAGCTTAACTTGCTTTTTCTGAGCCATTTTCTTCTTTCTCATCCTCATCATATGATATTACCACATTATAAGTAAGAGAGGCTTATTTTATTTTTATTATTACTGCATGATTATTCTTTGTTATTTCTCTGTCTTCTTATCCCAAATCATTACCCCCTTGGTCTTCAGCAGATTTGTCTAAACCGTCTCCAGTTCGCGGATGCTCAGTGACTAACATGCATTCCACGCTCCAGCCGGAGCCAGTCCACTGCTGGGTTCTGCAGAGGCAGAACAATGTCTTCTAGCAGGCGGCCAACATCCAGGCTTCCTGGCCTTTAAAGAATGTCTTCCTGCAAATAACTGCTGAGAATAGTTTGCAGGGACTCAAGGACCCTTTATAGGTTCCATTTGATAGCTCAGTAGGATTCAGTTCAGATTAGGGAGACTATGACCCTGATGCCAGGATATTCCTGTCTCCTGAGGACACTTCCCAAGTCAACTGATTGAGCAGCAGACCCTATGAACCCTGGGGCCCGGGCCAGCATCTGTGATGTGGCGTTTATATATGCATCCTCCATTTGCGTGGGCAGAATGAGATGGACAAATCAAAGTGTGGCCAGGAAGTCACGAGGCTACGTTTATTTCATGAAGTCCTGAGGCTGATTTTCTGGCTTGGCCCTGAGAGCTAAAAGAGGTCTTCAGTGTTTCATATCAGTTCTATTAGATGCAAAGTATAATCAAATACTTCTTGAAAATTTAAAATAACTTTCATTTATCAGGTTGCCTGTACACATGGACAATTACCACCTCCCAGAATGCTGATGGATTGGTGACAAATGATTTCTTTCAGACCTCCTGCTTACTTATGTGTTCAATGATTTTGCCCTTTATTATAGATCAGTGGTTCTCAAACTTGCCCATGTGGCTGAGCACCTGGAAGTTATGGTGCTTTTTGCGGAACACCATGAAATACTGATATATTTAATCCCATTATATGAGCCAGGAACAATTTTACTAACAGAAAATATGACTATATTAATGTGTGCAATATAATATCACAACCACAAACACACGTGTTCTAGAAAAAAAAATAATAAGCTGCCAAGCTGAGATTGGCTGCGTGCAAAGTTTCTCTTAGCATCTGCTTGCTGCTTGTTCATTCATGCTGTGGGCTCCTAAGTCTGCCCAGCGGTGGAGGAGCAGCATGTATCAAAAACTAAGGATAGGGTCTCGTGAGAAGACTGAGCCATTGTGTGTAGGAATCCAGTCCGTGAGAGTTCAGAAAGCCCCTTCCAGCTCCCCAGATGTAGGACTCTGTGTGAGAAGTGCGCCAGGGCTAAGGGCAGTCACCAGCATTGTCCTGAGCCCAGCAGTCACCGGCATCTGGTTGAAGTACCAGATTCCAGTGTGACTTGGGCTGCTGCTGAGATGATGTGCCTGGGCCCCATGTGCTCACGCATTCTTAAATTACCTGAGCAGATCTCTTCCCTTGTAACCACGGCAAGCCAGTGGGCATAATGGGAAGGTTGGAAAAGCAAGAATCAAAGAGAGAGGCGCCATGACCACCCACGTCACCCGGGATGGTGCTCGCCCAGGTACTTCAGGTTGAGCTCATCTTTGGCCTGAGCTTATGCTGGCCGAGGATGAGGATGAGAGGCTCTGGACCCCTCTTCATCTCTTCATTCAGCAACCCACCCCGGGCCTCCTGCCTGTTTTGAGCCACGGTCTTCATGGGCTCAGCTCTTCAATGAATGTTTTCATCACTTAGTTCTGTCTCCACTGGATCCATTTCCGACAGCTGCCACAACAAATGACCACAGACGTGGAGTCTGAAAACAGCAGAATTTATTCTATCACAATTGTGGAGGCCATAAGTCCAAAATCAGTAACACAGGGTCCAAATCAAGGTGTCAGCAAGGCTGCCCTCCTTCCAAAGGCTCTAGGGAAGACTCCTTCCTCGCCTCCTCCAGCTCCTCATGGCTCCAAGCACCCGTTGGCTCGTGGCTGCCTCCCTCCAGCTCTGCCTATGTCTCCACATGGCCCCTTCTCTTCTATCTCTCGTAAGGATTTAGAGCCTACCCAGATAATCCAGGATTGTCTCATCTCAGGATACTTAATTTGATCACATCTGCAGAAACCATTTTTCAAATAAGGTCACGTTCACAGGTCCCAGGGGTTAAGGCGTGGACATATCTTTTGGGGGCCACTATTATACCCACCAAGACAAGATCACTCCGAATGGGAAGTCTCATTACCTGGGATGTCGCTGGTTCACCCGTCTATCCCTCCCCTGGAGGTCCGTTTTCCTCAGTCTGGCTCTTGCCCAGAGTCTTGGCTTAATATAATCGTGAGGCCTAGAACCTGCCTGAACTCTGTCAGTAGCCGCCCCAGGGATTGGCCCCACCAGCAGGCAAACCTCAGAGGCACGTTTAGCTTCAGTACTATCTCATCCTAAGATCAGCCCACCTGACCTCCTGGAAGGAGAATTTTCCATCCAGACTGTGATTGACTCTAAGTTGAGACATCAATTAAAAAAGAAATCTCTTTAAAGATAGCTCCTCGGAGATGATCTTTTGGGTGCAAAGTTCACAATACAAAAGAACAAAATAAAATGTGTGTGTTCTACAGTTAGGATGTGAGAGGAAGGTGGTCGCCATTTTGATTAAAACTGAGTCTTTCTGGGGCCCCTGGAAAGTCTAGTTCCCTCTGCCCCTGGGCAAATATTGTCCTTAAGATCATGAGTGTAATAAAAGCAGTGACGCTTGAGAATAGTCAGCCTCTGGGTGATCCTTTCAGGTGACGAAACTCGCCGCAAAGTCTAGAAAGTGGACGTGGCTCCCCTTCCCCTAGAGGCGTTCCACCAGACCAGGGAGCAAGGGTCCCTAACTTCACCCCACTAATCCCTTTCTGCTCTGTTGTTTCCAAAGTGCTTGTCACCTGCCAGGGGATTATCATTTCATGTACTGCTTGTCATCAAAACTGTTAAACGTCCTGCTCTTATATATTCATTTGGCCATTTGGATTTTCCATCTCATTGTCTCTTGTCTGCAGTGCAGAATTGTAAGGAGCCTTGGTTACTCTTTCCAATCCCAACAGTTTTTCTCTCCTTTCAGAAGGTGAAACCAAACGAGGGAAGATGGCAAGGACCCCTTTTCTAGACCCCAGCCCCCTAGCACCCAGGGCGGAGGGAGTACTTCCAGTCAGACCCTATCCTGAAACAAAGCACAGAATGTGACCTCAGTGCATTTCACAGAGAGCAGGGAGGCAGGAAATCCTGACACTCATTACTCAGTGTAACTCACTTCCTGGCCCAAGTCATTAGGAAATTATCTGTTTCTTTTAATGCCTGTGCCTCACCAGACTGTGAACTCCCAAGGACAGAGATAATAATAGCGCTAATAGCCGCCATTTATTCAGCTCTTACTATGTGCCACGCACTGCTCTAAGTACTTAATCTACATAACCTCATCTAATCCTCACCGCAGCTCAGTGAGTGGGGTGCTGCCACTGTGTCCATTTTGGAGCTGAGGATACTGACGAACAGTGAGGTTAAGTGACTTGCCCAGGGATGGAGCTGGAATTTGAATTCAGTCCAATGAGCTCCAAAACCTCTGTTCTTAATCCCAGCACTCACCATGGTGCCTGGCACACAGTAGGTGTTTAATAAAGCATAGTGAAAGGAAGAAGTAAATAAATGAATGCCTTATCCCTGCTTCCCTCAGCTCAGCCTGTGCAGACACCCCTCCCGCCATCAGCACTTCCCAGCACAGTGACTCTGTGCCTGGATCTTGCAACCGTGCCTCAGATCTCGTGACCTGAGTTTTCCTGTAAGTTCCTGGTCCTGGTGCCTTCTGTGCTGTATGAGGAGCATGTGATTCTGGGAGGAGAAGAGCAGGTGATAGTTTCTGAACAGGGAAATGTCCATCCAGCGGCCAAAGTTATCTGCAGAGACTCTTAGGGGCATGGCCATCACAGGGGTAAGATGGGTGATTTGGTTCCCCTCATTACCATGTTCCACCCTCTCTTCTTACCACCTGCCTTTGGGTCTGAGCTGCTGAGAAAGAGGCCTAAAGTAAATATGCTGAGAGTCCTGGTCCCATGGGTGCCCAATTGAGAAGCATACAGTGTGCTTGGGTGAGAGTCTCAGAGAACAGAAATGTTCCTAAGGGTGTCTGAGAGGTAGAGGGGCAAAGGTGGGCTTTGGAGCCCAGCAGACTGGTACTCCTTCCTAGCTGGGTGGCCTCAGACACATCTCTGTAAGCTCTCTAAGCCTTCCTTTGCTCATCTGTGAAATCAGCACAGTCGGACGTACCTCAATTGTAAAGTTTGGTAAGATGGAAATATGTGGAGGGCCCACCTCTTTCTCTCCAGGCCTGGCCTGGGAACTGGACCACAGGAGATGCTTCCCCTTGGGGCCTTCCAGAGGATCTGAAACCCCGACATTCCGAGGATGTGAAGTTCAGGCTTGAGAGCCAGCATTGGGGTTTGGGTCTCAGCTCTGGAGCTTACCAGGCACAAGTTTTCTCTATGCCTCAGTCTCCCCAACTATGAAGTGGGGTGTTGTGCTGTCACTCCCTGATTGTTGTTGTGAGGATGAAGCAAGATAAAAGGTTCCATAACTGTCCATGTTACCAGTAACATCACAGCAACAGCAGAAGCAGTGCCTTCATCATGCTCCCACCTCATCACCAGGAGAAAGGGACGGACTCTTACCTGCAGAGGCCAGGGTGAGAAGGCTGCTCCTCTCTCTGGGGGTACCTGACATAAAAGATTCCAGGAAAGACTCGGAGCCTCTAGAATCCTGCGCCTCCCTCAGAATGTTCAGACTCCCCTCTCTCCCGGCCAGCCCCCAACAGGAGAATACTTCTTCTCCAGCAAAGATTACGGAACTGAGGTCTGGGGCTCTGCAAGGAAACAGACCTGGGAGGAAATCCGGTTCCATCACGTGTAACCTTAGACAAGTTACTCAACCTCTCTGAGTCTCAGTTTTCTCGTTTGTCAGATGGGGAGAATCACAGTATCCGACCTCATAGGGTTATTGTGAGTCTTCGGTGAGATAATGTGTGTAACTCATTATATGAGAACAGACCCCAGCAAACAGTGAGTACTCAGTAAAGTTTGACTGCAGTCTTCTCCATTTGTACAGAGTTTTACAGTTTATAAAGCATTTTCACATTGACTTGACAATCTAATCCTAAAGGTAGACCCCAGGGGGCCTCTAAATTCATCCAGAACTGGACATTCCAAGGTAGGAATTATCCTTGTTTAACAGAAAAGCCCAAGGCTCAGAAAGATTACACAACGGGCCCCAGGCAGGGCCAAGCCTGCATGACACTGGAGAACGTGCCCTAGTCATGGTGCCAGGCTATTTCTCAACCAAGGAAAAATGTCACCACACCCATGAAGGCATTTAATTTTGCCACAGCCTTGGGGATCTAAGTTACTTCCTTGCATTGGCTGTGCTGGATAAACAGCTTTGTCAACGTGTCACCTCCAAGAAGAGGCCACAGACACACGAGGCCAAGGCTTGGATGTTGTGATGCTGTCAACAGCTGCCCATCCATTTTCATCCTGCAAATAAATGCCTGGAGTCCAGCCAGTGGGGCCGGGTGACCTCAGTGGGGATGAAAGTGGAGCCCTGTTGACCAAAGCCCACAAGCTAGAGGCCAAACGGCCCCTCCCCATGTTGTTTTCCAGTGTGTTTTCTCTGTTAAAATTTAGGCTGCATCAATCCCCTGCTGGAAATTGTGCTCTTGCATATGTTATGAAAGCTGTGGCCATGTTCGTGTGCCCCAAACACTCGTATGCTGACCCAAGGGATCCCTTTAGCGAAAAGGCTGAAAAGCCTGAGTAATCTCCAATTTTGAAAGATGCCCTTTCAAGTAAGCTGCCAAAGCTAAACCCAATCCTCCGCAGATGCACCTTCTGTCCAAGAGAGCAAAGAGCGAGAAGTAGTGACATCCCCAAACGATTTATTCTAAAAGAAGAGAACATGTCCATTAGCCTCCCGGGCCCACCATGGAGCTTCCCCAAGGTTGCTGTATCCCAAAACGTGTTCCATGGAATATTCTGAGGATGTTAGTAAATCCTCCACCAGGCACAAGAGGACATAGGAGGAGGGGGATCCATTGTCAGATAAGTTCAGGAAACTCTAAAGAAAGTTAAACAAATGTCCTTCCTTCTCAAGCCTTTGAAAATGCCAATGTGGATGGGCTACAGGAGAAGGTTCCAGAACTCAATGCTTCACAAACATGTTTGACGGCCCCTGCTAGAGGGTTCTCTGTTCTTCCATCTCGGTGGCATGGGGCTGCTGTGTGGTGAGGCCAGAAATGCCAGTGTCGCCGTCCAGGGAGTTCCATAAAGGTAGGGACCTGCCTCTTCCCCTTTGTTTCCCCAAAGCACTTGGCACAGCACCTGGCTTATAGGAGGCAGTCATAAAAGTTCATTGGATTTAATTGAATTCTACAGGCCCTTTAATGGGCATTTGTCAGCAGCTTTCCAAGGTCTTTGTCCTTGGAATTCTGGAAACAGATTTTAATGCTCCCAAGTGTCCCTGAGTTCTTGGAACAGCTTCCACCTTGGCCTCAATTAAATGTAGCTTAAAGTCCTGTCTAGGACATCACTGGCTTCTGAGAATTACTCCCTGGGATTGGTGGCCCTCACCCTTAGAGGGAAGGGAAAAGCAATCTGCTCCTCAGGGGTTTAAGAACCAGCTTTTCCCTTCCCTAGAGTGACTCAGCCAAATCACAGACTCTGTTTTCACACCTGAAAATAAGTTCGATTACTTCCTAGGCTCACACTGAGGATTTAACTAGTGAACAGAAGTGATGGATCCTGCAAATAGTAAGTGCTTCCTCACTAGTAATTCCTTCCCTTGTTGTAGTTCCAAAATCCTGAACAAGGTAGAGACAAGTTCAACCCAAAAGGCTGGAGAGGGGCCCTTGCAGAGGGGAAAAATGCAAACTTTTAACGGACAGTTATTACAAGTGCCAAGGAAGGGCTCATAAATGTGAAATCCACAAACGGTGAGGCTATACATATCTTCAGAATCCCAAGGTGAATTCCTGGCTGAGCAAGCCCAGCTTACAGAGGTCCTCTACTTGAGGGAAGGCATTTGCACTTAGTCAAAACCACTTAGCCTGAGGTTTTAGCAAATCATTTATAACCCCATCACCAAACTCTGCTTCCCGTTCTAAGCACTTACGCCTGCGCTGTGTAGCCGCAGCTCATGGCCAGCAGGGTGTGGCGGACTGCAGAGGGCCAGAGGAGCAGGCCACACACCTGGGCCGGGGCCCGACTTGGCCACTCATAGCCATGGGATCTGGGACAAGCTAATGTCTCTGAGCGTCAATTTTCCCGCCTGTACAATGGGAATCGTGATGCCTTCCTGCTGAGAATGCCATAAAGATGAAATGAGCTCGAGGGCAATGAAAAGACTTTAGGTTCTGCCATTCAGAGAGAAGCTGTCATAGAAGACATTTCTTAGAAGAAGCCCAGTGATGTGCCCAGGGCATCTGATGTGCCCCATGGACTCCCCAGGAGGAGGAGGCTCATCTCTCTGGTATGGATCTTGCAGCATCAGCCATGCCACAAGTGGGAAGAGGGAGAAACAGGTCTAGTCTTAGGCATTACTAATCTTGCTTGCTGTGAGCAAGCAACCTACAGGGTTCTTGGGAGGTGAGCTGTGTGGGTGCTTGTGGCTTAACCTACACCCCATCACCCAGGCACCCAAATGTACCAGTTTGTCTGGTTTCCACCTGTTGTCCCTAGGTATTTATAAACAAAACTCCCTTTTACTCAGAAGTGTCCCGGGTTGGATAATCACTCACATGGTACTCCCCGACTTAGGACATTTTCCTGGGGCCACAGTCAAGGAAATGGAATCCCCTCCCAATCCCACTCCCCACGTGTAAACCACAAGATGCCACACCTGGGTGCCCCGTTGGAGACCTGCTAGTCCAACTTGCTTGTTTTGTAGTTGAATAAACTAACGCAGAAAGAGGGCTCGGGTGCTGTTCCCAAGCACCCAGATGGGGATCTCCAAAAACCAGGTCTCCCAAGTTCTAGGCCACGGTGTTTTTCTCCTGTTTCCTGTCCAGTGAGAGATGCAAGGAAGAGGCGTCAAGAGCCACACCTAACACTGTGATGCTGACGAAGGAACCGGGAACCCTAGGCCCTGCCGTGAGCCAGCCTGTGCCCTGTTAGGTTATCAATAAATAAGGGTGTGGGCTGGCTCACTAAAGCCTCTTTTTATCAGGCTGGAGTGCAGTGGCACGATCTTGGCTCACTGCAACCTCCACTTCCTGGGTTCAAGCGATTCTCCTGCCTCAGCCTCCCGAGTAGCTGGGATTACAGGTACCTGCCACCATGCCTGGCTATTTTTGTATTTTTAGTAGAGACAGGGTTTCACCACGCTGGCCATGCTGGTCTCGAACTCTTGACCTCAAGTGATCCGCCTGCCTTAGCCTCCAAAAGTGCTGGGAAGGCATGAGCCACCGTACCCAGCCAAAAGCCTCTTTGAGTTCTGATTCACTATTCCCCCTTGCTGGGGACTGACTGGCAGTTTCCTTCTGGGGACATGACTTGAGGGCAGGCATGGGGGGTCACAGCACAGGAGATAGGCCAAGGGCTATTCCTCCAAGCAGAGCCCAGAGACACTTCTCTCCCAGCTAGGTGCCTCACCAGCAGGACATTCAGATGAGTGATGGATGCAGACCAGCAAGTGTGCAGCGGAGGATGTGGGAAAGGCTCCAGTGATGAATGCCGAGGCCGAGGCCTGTCCTGAGCCCCGGAGGGAGCCCAGCATGGTCTGTTTCACCTGGTGCTCCTGACAAAACCCCTGCCAGGGCAACGACTCTCTGAGTGCCCCCGGAGCCTGGCAAAGGAGGTGGTCTTGGCCCTACCCTGACAACAAAAACTTTCTTGGAGAACCGCTGCCATTCCCTAGTGTGCTGAGAAGTTCTGAACAGGAATGTCTTGTCCATCCAACATAGGCACGTCCCAGTTCCCCCGTGGAGCCACCTTCATATTCAGTTCCACAGGGGGGCGTGTATGGTGTGTGAGGCACCTTGCCAGGCCTTGAGATGAACAAGACCCAGCCCCTGACTCTCAGGAGTCCTGTTCTAATTGAAGGGACGAGGCAAACACATTCTCCAGAGAAGGACAATGCCAGGCAAGGGAGAAAAAAAAATGCCAACAAGACACTTTTAAAAGAGGGAAAGTCTGCATGGGCACAACCATTCTTTGAAATGATGCATTTGGTTATGTGCATATTTGTTATGCATTTGGTTATGTGCAGATTTGTTAATCTAGCTCCATGATTTTTAAGTGTTTTAAATCACAGATTTTTTTTCCAAATAAAATCTTTCCTGAAACCCCCAGTGTATTATAACAAGACAATGACGCTGGGAGAAAGGTAAATGCAGAGTTCCTGGGGTCAATGCAGCAGTTGGATGCCATCACCTGGACAGCCCCTAGACTCAGACTGACAGCCACCAGTCTGTACAATGATGAATCATGCAGCTGCTAAATTACTATCATCAGGATTATGAAGCAGCAGGAAAAAAACATTGTACAGTGATGAAAACCCAAGAACAAAAGGCCAGGTGCACCATGGCTCCTATTGAGGAATTACAGGTGTGAGTAGTAGGCTCTGTGGCTGGTTATCTTTTTTTTCTGAGATGTGGTCTCGCTATTTTGCCCAGGCTGGTCTTGAACTCCTGGGCTCAAGCAATCCTCCCACCTCAGTCTCCCGAAGTACTGGGATTACAGGCATGAGCCACTGTGCCTGGCCTGCTTTGTGGTTGATATTCACATTAAAAAATTGCATGTCAGTGTTAATCGTGTCTCATAGGGAGGAGAGAGTGAGTACCTG